ATTAGAATAGGGTTTTGGGGGTATAATGTACCTTAAATATAACAAGGAACCCCCAAAGTAGTATAGGTAATTATTTAGGCCTCTATAATAAAACCCCTTGTGGAACCCATATAAAACCTTAGGAGAAGCCTATGCAAGCCGTCTCTGCGGCCTCCGGTAGGGTCGAGGCATAGTCGATCTCGACCCCAAGCAAAATGGCCTCGGCTCGGTTCCCTTTGCGGCTTTCTGTGGGGTTTAGGGTTTAGGGTTTAGGGTTTAGGGTTTAGGGTTTAGGGTTTAGGGTTTAGGGTTTAGGGTTTAGGGTTTAGGGAGGGGTGTGGAGCTCTATGTGGAGCTCTATGGCTTGAAGTTTGCGGTTTGAGGATTTGAGTGGGTTGCCCTTAACCTTAAACCTTGTAAACCCCCAGCAGAAGGGTTGTAGGTCATCAGGGCTTAGGGCTTAGGGTTCAGAGTTCAAGGCTTTTGGCTTCTTTAGCGTTCGTGTCAGCTACAGCGCCTGGAACCGAAACCAAAGCACCCTGCAATCATGAAGTGCCGAAAGCCTCGACACCTTCCAGTGTTTCGGAGCCTGAGGTGAGAGGTTAGAGAAGCATTCACATCGACTTGTCTCGCAATACCATGACCGTCTCGTATGTCAGCATAACTTCAGCCCACGTGAGGGCGATAGCAGCGTCATCGTGAGGGCCCGTGAAAATCCGAAAGCACATCGAGTCTGTTGCCACTCCATTGTTGGAGCCTCAAATATCCATTGGAAGAGATACGGTATGCAACAGGATGTCTGAGGGCATTCTAGGGACGGGGGGGTATGTTATTGTCAGGTTCTTACCACCAACTTAGGGGACTCCCGCGCTACACTCTGAATCCCAACCCCGGAACTCACAAGCCGACTGGCAAAGTCCCCCTTCTCAAAAACATTACAAGCCTGCTAAAACCCTTGCAGCCCTACAAAAACTTATACAACTCTACCCGGTACCCTAAACCCTAAACCCTAAACCCTAAACCCTAAACTCTACAGAGCCCTCATTCAAGCAGTAAATCTCAAGGCTTGCAGAGCTTGGGCCGAGCCACATTCACGAGGATCAAGCCGAAGATCAAGGCACTGAAACCAGTCGCCTGGTTTAGGGTTTAGGCTTTAGGGTCTAGGGTTCAGGGTTTAGGGTTTAAGGTTTGGGGTTTAGGGTTTAGGGTTCACGGTTGAGGGTTTAAGGTTTAGGGTTTAGGGTTTAGGGTTTAGGGTTTAGGGTTCAGGGTTTAGGCTTTAGGGTTTAGGGTTCGAGGTTTAGGGTTTAGGGTTTAGGGTTTAGGGTTAAG